TTTGTGAGCTTAAAAAAATTGGTCGAACTATTCTTACTCTTTTTGGATTGATAAACTGATTACTCATAATTTTTTTAATTACAATTCATCACAATCAACACTCGTTCCACAACAACTATAATACTTAATCACTTTCAAACTTCAAATTTTTAACTGTAGTTTTATTCTATATTGTTATTGTTTTGCATTTATTTCTTTGATTAATTTTTTTGACATATATTAATATAGAGATAACGGGATTAAAACGGGACCATCTTCTAAAAACGGGACAAAAAGCGTCACGTTTGATGTATATAGGAACAACGGGACAACGAGACAGCGGGATGTGATGATCAAAACGGGACAAATGGTTACGCTTGTATAATATATTATACCCATTATTCACTTACAGGGAATACGTAACGAATGGTATATCAAAGAAATATATTAAAGCATATTGGTAGATAGAATCAAGACCGAAATAGGGAAATCTACAAATCACTGTCGAAAATTATTTGGTTACATATTAATTTCTATAATATTAACAACAACAATGAATTATTACATAATTATACATTTCAGAATTTATTAGTATTCTCAAAAACAAATAGTATAGAAATCATTTGGTTAAAAAAAATAATGTATTGAAAACTAAAATTCGTTAGAGTATTTTTAGTAGATTATCTTTTATAACTAAAATTCATAAATATATATTTAAAAGCTCTAAATTCTATTGTAAGAATTTTATCGCATTACAAAAAAGCAACAAGCTAAGTATCTTTGGTACACAGTAGGTAGTAAAGTATAGTAGTTTCAGGAGTAAACCTCCGAACTGATCATTGAGTACCTATAGATTACTGAAATGGATGTGTTGAATATGAATTCAACGATATAGTTGTATCCATTTTGTAACGTCAGACTYTATTTCGAATAATATTTTATAACATTGTTATTACCTAATAACTCATTTTTCTATTTAAAAAAACAATGTATGTTGTATACAGTATACCACATAAATAATAGTAATTTATAGTAATACATTATAAAAACATAATATTGTTATCAACTCATAGCTTATAAGTTATAAGTATTAAGTCAATAATGACGTAGGTACCTATACGTAACCTTATTTAGAACACTGTTTGTATAATACCGGGGTATAAAATATAATTAATATTTTGAAAATA